GTTTGGAGGGTTTAGGCTTAGGGTTTAGGGTTTAGGGTTTGGGGTTTATGGTTTAGGGCTTAGGGGATCTTAGGATTTCGTGGGTTTTCGCCTTAGTGGGGTTTAGGGGTGTGGGGTTGGCATCTTGCTTGCCCAGTAACATGCTACAATACAGGTAAACTTCTTGTGTTGGTTACTTGTATATAGAAACCCCAAGCCCATACACGACAAAAGGCTACCACTGGGCTGCCAAGACCATGAACCGGAACACCCCAAACCCTAAACCCCAAAGCCCAAACCCTAAACCCTAAACCCTAGCCCCCAATGAGCTTTGGGTCTGGTTCTTCCTGGGTATAGTCAGTCGGGTCTTGCGGTTGATGGGATTTTCCAGGCTACCTGTGGCTGACTGCAGCGGATACAGTCCCTCCGTCGCCATCTTAGACTGCACATAGATTTCAACCGACATGGTGGTTTCCGAAAATAAGGGGTATAAAAAGGGAGTCCTGAGTCCTACTATTTGGGGTCTATATAAGGGGTCCCGTATTTTCGCAAACCCCCACATGCCCTTGCCTACTCCCATGCGCTCCAAGGCCGTTTCAAACTGGGCCATTGCTGATTCGAGTGGGGAGCATCAGACGGTAGCTGCTTTCCAGCTTGTGCCACCGACACCAAGGTCGGCCTCTCGGAAAACACGGTTTTGAAGTCCGGGTCGCATCTTTGATGACATCCTCGAACTTCTACGTTGCAATCTTGAAAGGCTCACGCTTTGCCAGTTCTTGGGGCTGTGGTGCTGAAGGCTGTTCAGTTGGGGCGGCTTGCCGGAACTCCTGTGCGAGTTGTGCCCTGAACCACAAACCCCCAAACCCCGACACCCTAACTCCTCCTTGCTTCATCCACGGTAGTAGGCAGGGTGTGGAGTTTGGGGTTTGGGGTGTGGGGTTTGGGGTTTTAGTTTTGGGTTTTGGGTTCAGGCTCATGGGGATCCTGAAGCCCGAAACTAAAAGCCCTGAAGCTCTAAACTCTAAAAACATGGTAGAATCCCACCTCAAAACGCCCGATCCCCAAACCCTAAACCCCTCAACTAAACTCTGCACCCGAAACCCCAGAAGCCCCAAACATTATTCGCCCACACACCCGAAAACTCCCAAACATCAAAATCGCCAAATCAAAACCCCAAAACACGCTGAAACTCTAAAGCCCCCCTTAACCTTAACAAGAGCGGAAACTCTGAACCCTAAACCCCAAAAACCGTAAACCCTCTAAACCCTAAAACTTAGCAAACCCCTCAGAACCCTGTAAAGCCCCATAAACCCTAAAATAACCTCAAAGCCTATAAGCCCCAAACCCTAAACCTACTAAGCCCCAAACCCAAAAAACCTATCAAGGCCCCCCAGAAACCCTACACCTACCAAGCCCCAAACCCTAAATCAACCCGAGAAGGCCCAACACCCTAAAGCCCATAACCCATAAACCCCGCCAAACAACAAAACCAACAGAAAAGGAAACACCCTGAACCCTGCACTCAAACCCGATAAACCCCAAACCCGCTAAAGCCCCAAACACCCTAGATAAGCCAGCCCGAAACCCCTCAGAAGCCCTCCAAATCGCGTGAGGCCGCCTGAGGCGGCGCTCGGGGGCTCCCAGCGCGCCTCGCTTTAAAGGGTTGCTTATGGATGTTTAATGGCTTTATGTGTCGTTGAGGGTGTATTGTTGTGGTCTTTGTATGGGTTTTGAACGGTTTTATGGGTTTGTAAGGGTTCATTTTTAGTTTTTTCTTTTTTGTTTCAGGCTTTGCTTAGGGTTGTTTAGGAACTTTGTTTAGGGTTTTGATATAATTGTTTGGGGCTTTAGGGTGTTGAGTTTTGTGTGGGTTGTAGAGTTGCCAGTTGTCGGGTCAGAAATACTTTTTAGGATGAAGCCTAAACCCTAAACCCTACAGGCTTTATCGGGATTTGGGGTGCTGCTGGCTCTATCGAGCCCTCGTTGAGCACCCTGAAGCCGTGAAGACCTGACACCGTGACAGCCCCAACCCTGAAACCCTAAAACCCTGAAAGCCTAAACCCTAAACCCTAAACCCTCAACCCTGAAAGCCTAAACCCGAAAACCCTAAACCCTGAAGCCTAAACCCTAACCCCTAACCCCTACACCCTAAACCCTAAACCCCCGAATTTCTACACCATGTGAGCCCTGGAACCCTGAACCCCCCAACTTCGATGCAGTTGCCTTTGGACTTCCCCCAAACCCCAAACCCCAAACCCCAAACCCCAAACCCCAAACCCCAAACCCCAAACCCTAAACCCTAAACCCTAAACCCCCAGCTTCGCAGCAGCTGCCTTTGGACTTCCCCGTGGCGCTTTGCAAAGATCATGAACTCCTGGATGGAAACATCTCCTGCTCCCAAGGTCTTCAAGGATTTAGGGGGGTTTAGGGTTTAGGGCTAGGGTTTAGGGTTTAGGGTTCAGGGTTCAGGGTTTTGGGTTTAGGGTTAGGGGAGTCAGTAAGGAATGTTCCCAAACTTTTTGTAAAGGCATATCTCCTGTGACAACGGAGCCTTCAAGGATTTAGGCTTCAGGGTTTAGGGGATTCAGGTTAAGGGTTAGGGTATCTCCTGTTCCCAGCCTTCCGGCTCCCCTACGGATGTAAGAGTTTAGGCGGTTTAGGGTTTAGGGTTTAGGGGGTATAGGGACGCTAAATCCTAATGGCGCCCGAATCCCTTAACACTCGTGTGAAGCTCTAGAGCCACATCTGATTTTCAGTGTTGGTTAGGCCCTGAACCCCTGAAGGGCCTAATATAGGGCCGGCCTTAATAGTTTATCCCTCCCCCCCCAAAAAAAAACCTATTCTTATCAGTATTGATAGTAAGAATAGGCTTTCGGGGGGGGTATGCTAGTACAACTATAAAGGGACCAGAGCCCTTTTTTGAAACCGCCCCTAAGGTGCGCCTGAGCAGTCTGCATCCATGGCTCGCCACAGTCCACCTTAGGCAAGGAAGCCGCGGTGTTCGGGGGTTTAGGGTTTAGGGTTTAGGGCTTTGGGGTTGAGGAGTAGGGGAACGAGGGAGTTAGGGCCCTATATATATATATGTATACATATATATATATATATATATATATGAATGTATGTATATATATATACACATACCCTTTAAGGGGGTAGGGGGTACCTCATTCCCTCATTCCCTACTAAGAACCAGCCAGTTTGGGGGTCAGGATGCAGGGGTTTTGGGTTTAGATTCAGGGTCTTAGGGTATTAGGGCATTACAAGGCTTCCAGCTCAAGGAACTCTTAAAGGGCTGCAGGACCCTGATCTCAACCCAACTCCTCCTCTGCTCTTTTTCGGCTTGAGGGCTTGGTTGTACTACTTAGTTGCAGAGTTCATAAGACGCCCAAAAGTGTACACTTTCAGTTCTGTAGGGGATTATAGTATCCCAAAATAGTGTAAAGTGTACTCACTCAGCTACGAAGACTACATCAGAGGTTTAGGGCTATCGGTGTACGAGTTCGGGGCTACTGGGGGAGGTGGGAAGGCGAAAGAGAAAAATTCTAAACGCTGCCCCCATCGAAGAGTTGTGAGGGGAAATGCCAATGTATCGTCAGTTCTCCACGCAATCATATGGTCCCCTTTTAAAATTGACCGTCTAGCCTCTACAATATGATTCGGGCTGCCTTGTATCGCACACTCCACCCTCACACCTAGACCCCTTAACCCAAAACCCTGAACCCGAAACCCCAAACCCAAACCCAACACAAAGCCAATGTCTTGCTGGGCCCTGGGCGCAAGTCCTCATTGCTCACCTCGGCTCCTGATTGGCAGGACACGGGAGGCTCGGACGAAGTGCAAGAAGTATCTTAGGGCGTTGGGTTTTGAAGCTTGGTGGCCCAGTAACCATATTGCTTATAAGGGTGCCCCTGTTTGGGGGGTTGGTTACTTTACGAAGGAACCTTGAACAAGCAGAAAAGGGTACAGGGTACCACTGGGCGACAAAGGAAGCTAAACCTTTTCAACCCGAAACAAAGCTTTAAGGAACTTGGGGAAAGCTTGTGGTTTAGGGCCTCGGGCAGTTGCTTGCCTACTTGCTTGCGTGTCTTGCTAAGTCCACCGACCACATCCTGAGCACCAGAATGCATGAGGAAGAATATTTATTGGGGGGGGGGGTTCTTAAGCAACTAGTAGCAAATCCTAAGCCACAACAAGTTGACAGGTTGGCCCACAATCCTTCTGAAAGCCCTAAACCAGAATCTCGAAAAAAAAAAGTAAGGGCAAGTATGAACACTCTCAAGGCCAAGTTTGGTCCCCAAGACCTGAATCCTAAACCTTGTATAGCCCAAAGCTCTAAAGCCTGAACCCTCAGCTTAACCCTCAACGCTCTGAACCCTGAAGCCTAAAGCCAAAAATCTGAACCCCAAACCCCAAACCCTAAACCCTAAACCCTCAGCAGCTCACCATGCATGCTTGGGCTGCGGCCCACCGACAGGCCAGGGAATCCCTTCCTCACCACCTGCAGGGACGCCCACCGCAAATCCCTACCCAAGAAGGATTAGGGTAGGGTTTAGTTCAGCGTGTAGGGTTTAGGGTTTGGGGTGTATGTCTGTTATGCGACTTTGCAATGGCTGCTCGGACAAGTTCTGAAAGAAAGGGCACGATCGTGGATCGAATCCACCTTAAGTCGCCCCTAGCCCACCTTAAGTCGCCCCTAGCCCGAAACCCATGAATCGAGTTCCCCTAAACCCTAAACCCTAAACCCTGAGCCCTACACCCTAAAGCGAGGGTTCAAGCTTCTGCCTCTACACTCTACCCTACACCCATGGAACTCGGCGCCTAGAAGCCCCACTTGAGCCGAAGCCTGGCACCAAAAAACGTATCAGCCCTAAACCCAAAACAGCAGGGCGCGCTTTTTGGGCTCGTACTTGCCCACCCCCCTCCCTCGGACAAGGGCAACGCGCCCGTTTTCCTCCCACCTCGGGGACATCGTAACACTGCGCGGGCTTCTACCAGAACATGAGGCCTGCAATTCGCAACTCTCAACATTGCAGAATCAGCTGCTCACGCCGGCATCCAAGCACCGCTGCAGCGTGCTCCCAGAGGGCAACCTGGTCTCGAACAGCGCCTGATTCCCGAACAGCAAAGGGTGTAAGATTCACGTTATCGTGCTTGGGACAATCGTACTGCTCGTTCATGCAGAGGGCCGGGATGATTGCACTTGCCGTGCTCCTTGCCGGTATGTGTAGGACCTCAGCATGCTGCGTGGCCACGTTCTGGATCTTGTTCCAGCTCGGCTGCTCGAAAACGGTTCCAGCAGGGATCATGCAACTAATGGCGCTGGATAAGTTATTTCGGATTTGAAGACGAACCGCATGCGGAGCTTGTGGTATGTCTGCATCGTTTGTAGTGGCAACGGCTGTTTCCACAGTAACATCTCCATCTTCCAGGGAATAATAAAGCTTGCGCTGCTCGTCGGCCGGATTGTCGGTGACCACTTCGGGTGCCAGCTGTGCCCTCTGCAAGAAGCCACTATGCGCTGCGCCCTGGCAAAGCGGACTCACCTCCATCGGGCTAACCCTGACATCTGCGATGATGTCTCCAAGGTCAGCCGTACCTCGGAAGACCAACCATCTAAGTCTTGAACTCATCGCAACGAAAATCTTGTCATTCATTGTGTGCACGACCTCGTAGTCTGGTTGTAAGGCAGCAAGCTGCTGAGCACGATCTTCGTACGACAAGTTGCAAAGGCGGTGGGCCTCCTCCATCAGAGCTGTGTTAAACCAAGCAGGAGGCGCCATTGCAGAGTTTGCCAAGTGCCTGGAAAGGGTGTAGGATTGTGTGAATCACACCTGTCCAGAAAGCAGTCTCACTGTGGCTGATGTAAGCTGCCTTGAAGCTGCCCTTGTGCCTTCAGATTTGCCGCAGTTTCAGAAGCAAAAATCTATGAAATGTAAGCACTTTGAAGGGGATGCAGCGCCCAACCCTGAACCCGAGGCTTTAACTCAACCTAAGTCCTCGTCCGTGAACCAGCCTCTCACTGCAATCTGAGCTCTAAACCCCAAGCCCGAGACAAAATCAGAAGATGATATACCAGAACCTCAAAAATCCGCGATGCCGTCTGTATACACTCCTAGGTGCCTACAACCCCTATCCGGGGTAGTTGGAGGTTTTGGGGTCTAGTCGTCGGGGTTCTTAGTCGTCTCAACACACTCAACAAAGCCCAAAGGACCCGTTCTTCGTCCCCCAGTGTTATAGGTGCGTGTCGGGAGGGCTATTTTGTCCTGCGTGGAACCCTAAAAACCGAAACCCTACAACCTAAACCCTGCTTGACCCGAGAACCCTAAACCCTGAGCCCTAAATCCAAACTGTAATATACACCCCAAGGCCCATAATACCTAGAATGCCTGGACCTGCTGAGATCCGTCAGGACGCGGCCTTCGCAAACTCATCGAAATCTAAACGTCCCGACCCGTCCTGGCGCGAGGCCGGCGCGACTTCGCTTCGGGGGAGGTCAGGGTTAGGTGTTCGAGGGTTTTGGGTTTGGGGCTTACATGTAGGGTTCAGGGTGTTACAGCTTAAAGCTCATGCTTGTCGGTTCGTCAGCCCTCAAAGCTTGGCGAGGCGTTGGGGAGGACCCCTTACCCGGCATGAGTCGCACCGAGCAGCGGCAGGCCTCTGATCAAAACTTTCCACGCCCACTTCAGCAAGGTCTCCTTGTCAGGAGCCTACGAGGTTCCTCCGCTGAGTCCGTAGCTAATAAATGAATGCGGGCGACAGGTCGTTGCGTGGGCCCTGTTGAGGAGCAGTTAAATGCCGAAACAGGTTGATCCCCCCAGTAGGGCTCAGAAAAACATGACCCTACAACATCACAAAACCCTAAAACATTTCCATAATCCCAAGTCAAAGAGGATCCCCCCCTAATAAGGGCATCTAATGTTCCTATCGTGTACCCTCCACCGCTCCCTCCGCAACAAAAGGAAAAGCACGGACGGCTCACCTCGTCGCACACGGAGAGAACCTGCGCTGGGGCCAGTGGGGTGCTTGAGGGCTCGGGGTTCGGGTTGAGGCTTCAGGGGTTTTGGGCTTCCTTGGAGGAACTAACCGAAAGCCTACCCTTTTTGTAGGTTAAGCCTATCACATGGGTTATAGTAAGAACCTACACATTTTGCAGGTTACCGAACGAGTCCTATAAGGGCTTCAAAAGAACATGGAAGAACACACAAGAGAAAGGCTCGTTTTCGGTTCTTGAGATCGGGTTTAGAATAGGTTTGGGGTCGTGGATGTTGCACATACCAACACTCGAGCATGAAAGAAAGTAGGTCCTGGAAGGAATAAGGAAAGGCTGAACCAACGGCATGGTTTGAGGCAATGTTGGGCTAAGGTGCAAGGGTTTGGGGTTCAGGGCACCCCTGAACACTCAAAACGAAACCCAAGCCCTCAACCTTAGGGTCATGGTTTAGGGTTTAGGGTTTAGGGTTTAGGGTTTAGGGTTTAGGGTTTAGGGTTTAGGGTTTAGGGTTTCGGCCTTTTGAAAGCAGAAACTGCCAGGCCTTGAACCAATTCCCTCCTGCTCGGTGCCACTTGTCCGCCGCCGCCTCAGCTCCACCGCTACAGAAAAATCTAACTTATGGGTTTAGGGTTTAGGGTTGAGGGTTTAGGGCTAGATTATACTACCCCAAAAAGGTTAAAGGTTACCTACTCTACTACTAGGACCGCAGAGAAGGGCATAGGGTTTCCCAGAGGATCTCGTGCTGTTATGTACCAAGGTCTTTGGGCATCCGCCTTGCAACGGTGTTGGTCACCACGATGTTCTGGTCTGAAGCGTCAGGATCTTTTCAAACCTTTTACTAAACCCAAATTACCCACATCTTCCCGCAGCCATTCAATTTCTTCTTGAAAGGTCCGAGATGTGTTAACGAATGTTGCTCTTGTAAGGGGCATGATCATTACAGTTTAGGACGATGTACGCCTCCTCAGCACCTCATCTAGAATCTGCCGTCGTTGACTGAGATTTGCCTACATAGCTACATGTAGTAGAAGCTCGCACAAGTACGATTCTGCGTAAACGCAAATCTTTTTGTGGGTGTATATATGTACGTATACGCTAAACCGTAAACCCTAATCAACACTAACCCTAAACCCTAAACCCTAAACTCTAAACCCTAAACCCTGCAGCCTAAACTCTACGTCAAGCCTCTTAACCCTGCATCGGGGCCCAAGGCATTCAGCGCGGCCATGATCCTCTTCAACTCCTGGGGTGTCCGCCTGCACTTGGAGGTTCATTGGGTTTAGGGTTTGGGGTTCGGGGTTTAGTAACCAATTTTAACTGTACTTATAACCGGCTTATAACCCCCATAATTGCCATAATATGGATATAAGGTACCGTGAGAATTGGTTAGCAAGAACCATGAAATTTCAGGTGGTGGCCAGTGGTCAACGCCACCCCCAAAGCCCTGACTCCTGAAGCCCTTACAACCGAAGGCTTTATGGCCTATAGGCCTTAGGGTTTATAGGGTTTAGGGTTTAGGGGGTAGGGTGCGGGGCTTGTAGGGCCTAAATCCAAACCTACCACCAAACCGCCCAACCCCTATAATCCCCTACTCGGCAGTGATCTGCAACCTCTTTGAGGCGACACTCAGTCGTCCACTGCAGAAAGTTAGGGTTTAGGGTTTAGGGTTTGGGGTTTAGGGTTTAGGGTGCAGGGTTTAGGGTTTAGGGTTGCACCGCGAGGGCGCAGTCATTGGGGTGGGGTGCTCGCCGAGGTGACCCTCATCCGTTCTCTCTCTCGCCTGACCTCGGCCAGCGCTTGCGCGAGGTGCCGGCAGTCGTTGCCGAATCATTTCCTTGCCTCCGCCTCCGCAGCCCTCTCCCGACTGGACTGCTCCGTTTTGCGGCACTCTGGCCAACACATTGGCGGCTGTGTGCTGTTTCCCTTTTCTTGGCGCTTTTGAGGTTTCTTGAAGGGTGTGTAGAGACTTGGGAAGGTTCGTCATTGGGCTTGTAGTGTTCCGAAGAGGAAGGCTTTGCGTTTTCATAACACTCTGAAAGGGCTGTATGAGGTTCAAGCAAGGATTGCAGGTCCATTTGAACAAGCGGGCTCGTAGGTCACTAGTGTTCTTAAAAGGGCGTATAGGGTTGAGGGTGTACATTCTGATACCTCGGCGTTAAACGACCTGATTCTAGGGTTCTTCTCGGGCTTCGAGGGCTAGGGGTCCAGACATACTTTCTGAAGCAAAAGTTCTGAAGGCTTCCGAAAAAATCTTCGTAAACCAGCGATGCACGCCCTAAGCCCTGAGCCCTAAACCTGCAGCCCTAAACCCTAAAACCCCTAAACCATAAGCCTTTAGCCCTAAAACGCAATACGGCCTTGTAAGATCTCTGAAGCCCTAGAACCCCCAAACCCTGAAACCCAAACACCAAAGAAGTCGAGCTGGGGGCAGCGGCAACATGCCCAGAGGTCCGAGCCAGGGGCTTCATCATATGGTTCAGGGAGTCATACTCGGACCCAGCGGACCCAACTCGGACCCCCTAATATGGCCCTCATACTTCCTTAGAGGATCTTTAGAAAGTGGTCCCACACCCAAGGTGCGCGGTAGAGCGCCAGGAGCTCACCCCAAAACTCCCAAAACGTCCCTGTAGGTTCCCTAGAGAACCTAGACCCTAAACTGGGTGTTTGCTAGACCCAAAAACTCAACAACAAAACCCTTCACCCCAAACCCTAAACCCTAAACCCCAAACCCCAAACCCCAAACCCCAAATCCCAAATCCCAAACCCTAAACCCTAAACCCCTAAACCCCAAAACCCTAAACCCCAAGCAGGCCCCCAAGACGACGCGGCCTGGGCCAGCTGTCCACTTGCAGGCGGTACAAGGCAAGGCAAAACCTGGGCTTTCGAGGCTTCAGGGAACCCTAAACCTAAACCGTAAACCCTAAACCCTGAACCCTGAACCCTAAACCCTAAACCCTAAACCCTAAACCCTAAACCCTAAACCCTAAACCCTAAACCTCAAGGCGACTTCGTGAAGCCATAATCTTGGCGGACTTCTGAACCCCTCACAACAGTTTAACTTTTAGGCTCCTCATCGTAGTCTCCACCGGGAACCAAAACCAAAAGGCTAAAGTCCTAAGGGCCAGCCAGAAGAAAGCCAAGTTAGGGGCTTCAGGGACCGGGGTTTAGAGGGTTTAGAGGGTTTAGAGGGTTTAGAGGGTTTAGAGGGTTTAGAGGGTTTAGAGGGTTTAGAGAGTTTATAGAGGTTGGGGTTTGCAGGGCTTCGGGCTTACAGGGTTATAGGGTTTAGGGTTTGTAGGGTTTTTTTAGGCTTTAGGGTTTAGGGTGAACACGATTATGAAGTGAGGGCTCATGCTACATGGTGTCTTGGGCATCGAATACTCGATCCTGGAGCTAGGCACCCAGAAAGAGCCCACACTACATGGTGCTTTCGGCATCGATTTCCATAAGCCGTACCTTCTGAATGGACTGGATCTGGGCTAAATGCATCTGGCTTCTTAGGGCCCCTAAACCCCAAACCCCGAACCTGTAAACCCAAAAGTGCAAGGCTCTGGGGCTATCGCGGCTTCGGATTTAGGACCTAGAGTTCAGGGTCTTGTCTGCCAGGTGTTCTGTCCCCAAGCACCAAACCCCAAGCCCTAAACCCCAAACCCCAGGCCCACACCCTAAACCCTAAATGTCCCCAAACAAACCCCACGCCCTAAACCCCAAACCCCACACCCTAAAACCTAAACTCTAAACCCTAAACCCTACGGCGATGAAAGGCTTGAAAGGCCCCAGGGATTGGAA